CTCAAAATAAATAAATAAACACTAAAAAAAAAAAAGTAAGTAAATTGAAAGATTATTTCTCTGCGTTTTCCTCTACTTCTGAAGGTCACTGACGTCTCACCTTCCACTGGAATTTCTTACCATTTGGGTTATTCTCAATCTGGCCTGACCACAACAACTTTCCTCTATTCCAGGGTCATCACCAGTGTTGTCACCGAGGAAGCCTTCTCACCCGGTCATGGACTTTTTCAGTTCCAACCTCTTAGGTGACTCTTCCTCACCAGCATCTGTTTCTAGTCATGCAGATGCCCATGAAATCGTTGTGAGCGATTTTCTTATTTCTGATGAAAACCTTCAGAAGATGGAAAATGTACTTGATCTTTGGAGTTCAGGACTTAAGGTATTACAGTTGTTCAGTTACAGTTGTTTCATATGTAGTATAACAGTTTTGCTCTTGATTCCACTATTTCCTGTTCTTTTCTTTGAATCAAAAGATTTTGTGAAAAAAATCTTTAGTTTCCTTAGAAGATTAGTCCAGTGTTTTAAGTCTGTACTTCTCAGTCTTTAATATCTGTATGCATCATCTGGGAATCCTGTTAAACCAGCTTGTCAGTTGGTCTTGACCAGGGCCCAAGATTATGCATTTCTAACAAGCTCCCAGGTGATGCTACTAGATCAGAAACCATGTTTTGAATTGGCAAGGTTTTCAGTAGTTGCTGAACAGCTCTGTAGGTTCCACTGAACTTCTCGGGTGTTTTTAAAGACTCAGCCTACGTGTGACAAAGATACCTATTGAATCCTTACCATCTCATAGCTGTGACGAATGAAGATGTCTCCTTTTATATGTAACACAGCATCCAGTTTTAGCAACGTGTATTCATTTTGTAGCTGCTTACAGCAACCACCTTGTGTAACTGGTAAGTCTATAAAAGCTGACTATTTTAGTGGTGGTATTGGCCTCTAAATAAAATAAGGTATTACAGAAGTGGCAAATTTTTTTCTATTTAAAATATAATGGAAGGGTGCCAGGGTGGCTCAATGTTAACCCTCTGACTCTTGGTTTTGGCTCAGGTCATGATCTTGTGTTTTGTGAGTTCAAGCCCTGCATTGGGCTCTGTGCTGATAGTGTGGAGCCTGCCTTGGATTCTCTCTCTCTCTCTCTCTCTCTCTCTCTCTCTCTCTCCCCCTCTCTCTCCCCCTCTCTCTCTGCCCCTCCCCTGCTCGTGCGCTCTCTCTCTCTCAAAAGAAATAAACTTTAGAAAATATATATACATATATATAATGGAGAAAATGACAGTTTTTCTGAAACATCGTTTGAGAAAACTGAATATTCACATATATGGTGAAATTACAGTTCTGAGGGTTTTATGGCATTTTTATTTCTCTATTATTGGGAACCATAAATTCTAGAAATAATCTTTTAGTATAGTTTTTACCATTTTCCCCCTTGGAACAGGTTTCATATCTGTGTCATGGTGTAAGTGCTACCGCTAATCACGTAATTTGTTCTCTGTTCAGTTAAGCGTATTGTTAGGCAGTTGTTTTGATAACATGATTATTTGGTATTTTTACTTATGCCATTCAGTAGGGGGAAAGGGATCAGACTTAGCAATTTGTGGTAAGATGGCCTCTGTGATAAACGATTTGGGGAAAGAAAGCGTCAACCCCCCTGGTTTCCGTTATCCACCTCTATCTAAATAACTTCCCAGTCCCGTGGCTGAGCCAAGGCCATACTCTGACTTTTGCCCTCCTTGATCTATCTTAATATGGACATTAAAGTCCTTGAATAAACCACGGAAGGACCAGAAATTTTTTCAAAGGACAACAAAGTTTCATACAAAGTGACTTAAAGTAGGAAAAAAAAAATCCATTTCCTTAGTATGGTAAATGTGACCTGAGAAGAGCCACAACTGTTGAACTTGCAAACGTTTTCATTAGTGATTTTTATAAATAGCTCTTATGTTGATTGCTTGTACCGATGAGTTTTAATGTTTCTTAATTTCAGTGTAATTTTAAGAAGCAGTACTAACCACACTGCTTAATTGCTGGCATATTTATTTTTCAGACAAACATCATATCTGAACTAAGTAAATGGAGACTTAATTTTATTGACTGGCACCGAATGGAAATGAAAAAAGAGAAAGAAAAACACGAAGCACATTTAAAACAACTGTGCAACCAGATCAACAGTTTGAAGGAGCTGCAAAAAGCCTATGAAATCTCTATTGGGAGAAAAGATGAGGTCTTCACTTTTGTATTTCTTTTTAAGTGAGATGCGGTAAAAATCTTGCTAGGCAATAAATGCCAGGAACTCATTATTTAGGTCATACAAGATACAAAGGGAAGATTGCTTCAGAAACTGAAAAAATAGATACATAGGAATAAGATATATTCTTCCTCTTAAACATGCCAGCATCTTGTCATTTAATCTTTGTCATCAGCTTCAGTGTGCTCGAAGTTTTAGAAGTGTGTGCTGAATGTGGAAACACTAATTTCTGTTCCCCGGTCTTTTTTTCCTAACTGCTCTTAAGAGAACATTGGGGAACCAGCATTACCCACATTTTAAACCATCTTTTTAGGGGTCATTTTAAGTATCTCACATTTTATCGATGCTATATCTTTCTTCATTGATGATGTCTTTTTCGTTTTATTGATAGACATAGAGAACACTTTTTTTAAAGCTTTTTTTTTTGATCTGTGATTTTGTTTTTAATTATCTTAAGCCTTATCACATAATTTACAAATTGGTGCTGATGATATTTCTCCTCTACTTTAACCCTTCTAACAAGTTGGCAAAAGCACCAATCATACATATATGGTAATTCCACAGTTGTATTTTTGAATAGCTGTTTAGAAGACATTCCTGAATTATAACTTAGTAAAGAATTCACAAGCCAAATCTGCTACTATACCTTATCACACTCAATTTTAAAAGCATCTGACCTTACAGCTCATCTATAAAATGTGAGAACTGTTAATAATTTTTAATATTATACATAAACCACACTAACATGCCTTTCATTAAGCAAAAGGCAACATTTTAAATGGAGGGAATTTTAATTAAATTGGCATAGTTAAGACAAAAAGATAAAGTGGACATTGCCAGCTTATCTTCAGCCCTTGCCTTTAACAGGCTAATAAACACAACTTGAATCACAGCTGAGTCTTGCTGTTCTGATACAGTGAAGGGATTTCCTCAGTATTTAAATATATTGATATAATCAGCCACATAAATCTAAATAAGTTTAAGTTTAGAGATGGCATTTACCATCTCTGTGAAAAGCTGAACATGTAATCAATTCCAATCATATTTTTGAAAGGGGAAAACAATGACAGCACTTGCTGAACCAGAATTACTATCAAAGTTCAAAAAGCGAATCCTACTCATTTAACCACAAGCTAATCTTATTTAATTTTTTTTTTTTACTGTTTATTTTTGAGAGAGACAGAGACATAATGCGAGTGGTTAGGGGCAGAGGGAGAGGGAGACACAGAATCCAAAGTGGGCTCCAGGCTCCGAGTTGTCAGCGCAGAGCCTGACGCGGGGCTCGAACTCACAAGCTGTGAGATCATGACCTGAGCCGAAGTCGGACGCTCAGCTGACTGAGCCACCCAGGCGCCCCACAAGCTAATCTTATTTAAATCAGGACTGTCCAAAAGAAATATTCTATCAGCCATTCATGATCTGAATTCTGGTGTATAAGATTTATTTAAATACGGGACACATAAAAAAAGTCATGAGACATTTTTGTTTTGTAATAAATAAGGCAACAGCCAACTATTGTTCCTTAGTAGCTTTTTAGAGATAAGCTATCAAGTCTGCTCTTTCCCCTGCCTTCTTAATGCCAGCGAAGGTCATTTTTGTTCCAGGGATGTACTTCCTGGGATTCTCCAAATAGTCCATCAGTGTCTCCTCTCCCCAGGTGATGCCTTTGTTCTTGTTGGCATCCCTATAAGAAAATCCAGGGGCTTGACCTTTCCCCTAAATAAACCGTGGCGATTCGGCCCAGTCTTGTGCTTGCCTCCCTTTTCCATGGTATGGCACTGGGTGCACTTCTGAACAAAATCTTCTTGCTCTTCTCAATATCACCCATTTTTAAATCGCTCTTAGGTCGCACGTGAAATGAAGGTACCCACTCACAAGCCGGATGTCCAACCCTCTCTAAAGCTTATTTATTTATTTTGAGAGGGGCGGGGCGGGCAAAGAGAGAATCCCAAGCAGTCTCCTTGCCGTCAGTGCGGAGCCCTGCTCTGGGCTTGAACTCATGAACTGTGAGATCATGACCTGAGCAGAAATTTAAGAGTCAGACACTTAACTGACTGAGCCACCCAAGCGCCCTGAGAATACTTTTTATTTCACTTTACATTAGCCTCTTAAGAACGAGAGCGTAAGGTTCACGTCTGTGCTAATTCCACACAGCAGACTGTGCAGTAAATCCATGGCTCCCCCCAGGAGGATGTTAGTTTTCAGAGGCGACAGCTCAGCTCCTGGTCTGCAGATGCAGCACTGTTTTAATGAACTAGATAGAGACTATATATTTTTTTAAATATACATTTCTTTTGATGTTTGGGGTATGATATAAAATCAAACATTTTATATAGTTTACTTTTTTGAAACCCTAGATACTAATGTCACTCATTTTCTCTCTTGCCCTCAAAACTCTATCCTGAGGTTTTAAAATATTTGAAACTTATTTTTTTTTAATTTCAAATTGTCACACGTAAAAGAGTATACATGTGTCCAGTTTTTGAAAATGAATAAGGTGAACGGTCTGTGCCTTTTAACAGAAATGTGTGCCCTTTTCCACTTTTGAAAATTATTTAAAGAAGAACCAGAATAAATGTCTCTCAATAAATATGCCTAATTTACTAAATCTCACTTTAATGTGGCCAATTTAAAATATATATTTCAATCACTCATTTATTTCTTTATAAGAAAATACCGCCTTAGGTTTTAAAAGCATTCGTAGATTTATTTAAAAAAGAACGAGAATAGCATCACTGAAGAAGTACATTATGGTATAACTCTTGTTTGCTTTTATGAGTTTGTTGAATCCAGAAAATCCTTAAATAGTTAGTGAGCAACTTCTAACCCAAGGTATTAAAGGTACTTAAGGGACCAGAAAGATGTTTAAAACCTGGTCCCTACCCTCAAGTGTCGTGCACAAGGCCTTTCTGTGTATGTGGCAATATTTTCAAATGTGTAGTCATCTTTCTTGAATTAAATGTCAATGACTATTAATTTTATATACATAAACTTTTTTTGTGATTATCCAGATACAAATAATAAAGACTTTTCTTTCTTTCCTCTTTTGCTCTCCTTCGTTCATTGATATGTAGTGCATTCAGGTGGACAAGCTTTTTGGTGTTTTTAAAGATAATAATGAGGTTAATTAGATGAATGTAGTAGTGCTCCACAGGTATTCTTTTGAGCCCTTTTTGATATATGTGAAAGTCACTTTACCAATTATTGTTATTGTAACATTACAATAATTGTGTTAATTGCTATTTACAGGTGATTTCTAGCTTGTCTCATGCCATAGGCAAGCAAAAGGAAAGGATAGAGCTGATGAGAACATTCTTCCACTGGCGAATTGGCCATGTTAAATCCAGACAGGATGTAAGTATAAAAATAAAACAATAACTGACAGATACTAGACTTCTGAACTCAAAAGGGTTTAGGATCACATTTTGGAGCTCCTGTTAAAGTCAAAGAAAGATTTGTTTTCTAATAAATCAAAATGAATTTACAATTTAATGTTGCCTAGATTTTAAAGGAATTTGATTTTGGTGTATTTTGGAAAAAAATACCTCATATTTTATAGACCTATTGATCTATCATCTCCTACTTCATAGTAAGTAAGGATCATAACTGACTTACAAATGCCCTTGTCACAGAACCCTTTTAACAAATTTAAACTCAGATGTGATTGTGTGGAGAAAGAATTGATAATGTCTAACATATCATATGCTTCTTATATTGTTTCTGCTTCACACATGCCTGAATGTATCCATATAGTCTCTTCATAAAGAGGCAGTACTGTATTGATACATTATAAAATTGTGTGATCGTTTGTTTTGTAGACTTGACTTAGAGTGAGAATCAAAGAAAGCCATGTCTGTGTAGCTTTTTAAAAATTATCTTTAGTTTGTTTACAATTTAACTGTGATTGTCTTTATTTTAATTAAGTAAGAGTTGAATCAGTATAGCAGAGTAAATATGAACTGAGAGACAGTAATAAATTATTGTATCAGAAGTGGAAAAGATGAGAGGATATGTATATCCCACAAGAAGACAGTATAGAGACTCAAGAGTATAGGGGATAGATGTGTTGTGTGTGTGTGTGTATTTGATGTTTATGTGAGCCATGGAATGATCTCTCTGCATTTAGTTCTGAATACTTAAAGAAAAGGCTATTACAATGGTGGAACAGGATTTCTCCTTGAAGAATAATTCCTAGTGCTTTCATTTTTTTTATGAATCCCAATAGATTGAATCTACATTAATCATAGAGAAAAGAGCTATTTAATGAGTATGCCGTATTTTGAAAGTTATTTACCAACTGACATAATCAGAATATATTATGTTTAAATGTTAGTGGACATAGTGGAGGCTGCCGTCAGTTTGTTTTTTTTTTTTAATATATGAAATTTATTGTCAAACTGGTTTCCATACAACACCCAGTGCTCATCCCAAAAGACGCCC